CAAAAGATTAAGCGACAACTGCAGGATTCGAACCTGCGCGCCCGAGGGCACCGCCTTAGCAGGGCGGCGCGTTAACCACTCCGCCAAGTTGTCATATCGCTCGATGAAATTTTTTTCTCATCAAGGTTTTTAAAGCCGCAATTCCGACCATCACCGAACCTTAAATTAAACGCCTGCCCCTTAATAAACATCATAATATCACGTGATAAAAATACCTTTTGGACAAGAAACCGTGCGCAAAGCCAGCCTTATCATTATTATTATTGTTATTCTCTTTTATTTGCTCTTCGCGATCTAAACACCTCCACGATGTCCATAAACTGACGCCGCGGGTCCCTTCTCTGAAGTCGCTGTTGATGATACTGATGCTGAGGGACGAGGGGGTCCAGCGGGAGGTAATTTTCCGTGCTCCTCCGTGCAGTGGAATAAACGCTTCAGCGATTCCAGGCAGACGGTGGGGTCCTGTTGGTTCTTCATCACACAGGCGTCGTAATCCTGAATAAAGGGATCACACTTCTCCTTGACATACTTGATGATGGGGACACTAGAAGACACGTTCGGATAATATTGCGACAAAGAGATTAGTTATCGAATCGGCTGGAAAGGATATCGATCTCGGTTTTGCTGATCCAAGTAAAGGCAAAGGGAAACATAAAAGTCGCTTGTTCACCTATTCTGGACAACACTCCATTCGAGCCAGTCCATATCGATGTCTTTCCAAACGCTTATGCTTATTATTTTTAACAACATCGAGTCCTGGTAAGCAAATTTGTCCCCATGACTTACTTGTCTTCTGAGCATTTCGCCAATGCACGTTTCTGAGTGATGCATTTAATGTCCCAGTTCTCGGGGTTTTGGGTGACACACTTTTGATAGAGTTCCAACTGGAGGCCACAATGCTTGGTCACAAGGGCAACGGTATTATCAGCGACGTCCATGTGGAAAATGGCCATCAATCGGATGGGGGGAAGTAAAGAAAGGGGTAGGAAAGAATGATTAAATGGACCCATGCAAAAGGAGCTCCTTTCCGAAAAAAGTATTTTTGGTGACTGCTTTTATTCGCCACTAATTTTCCGAGCGTGTACCGTCGTCTTCGTGCAGGTCCTCTGTTTGTAGCATGCTAGTAGCAATTAAAAGGATAATGTTTCATGCCCTTGATCGCTTAGCCTGGATCACGAACACGTTCGGCACTCCAATCTCGGGCTATTGTCAAAGAGAGTAACAGAGGTTAGTCAGGTTCTAGCAACGATATCAAATGTATTTACGAAAAAAAACAAGTTACCTTCTCTGGTGAAGCATCATGAGCAGACACTCCAACAGACACCTCGAGGCCTTGAATGCGATCATCATGGGTCTCGATCGGATCCGTGACCTTATCTCCAGATCCGATCATTTCCGCGGCCTCTGGTTGGCGACCACACTTGAAAAAGCCACAGTTCACGCCCCAAGATTCCCGGCAAATCCAGCAGAATCGATGACCACAAAGCATGCAGTCGACCTTGTTGCAGCCATCGTCTCTATGAATAAGGATGCAGCAGTTCGGGCACGGGTTTGTGTTCTTGAGCTTCCATTGGAGCGTGTTCGCATCGAGGTCACCTCGGTCCTTTTTCTTTCCTAATGATTTTGTTGTCTCCGTGGAGGTAAGGGTCTTGTCGAGTTCACTTCGAGATCTCTTGCGTCTCGAAGTTTGTGATGTGTCCTGGACACCGGCAAGAGACCGCATAAAGTCGAAGCAGTCCTGGGTTTCGTGATGGGAGGATTGACCGCATTGTAAGCAGAGCTCATGATCACACTTGTGACTACGTCGAAAAAAATTGAAAATTAGAGAGCGTTCCTTTGTCTACCCTTTTGCTTTTACAAATATACAAATAAAACACGACAATTCCTACCACCTGTCCCATCGAAGCCAGCGCACGTGCAAAAACTGCAGCTCTTTCCATTGATCCGGACGAGCTTCCAGACTTGCAAGATCCTTGCTGAACTGGACGAGCGCCCGCCTGACCGCCAAACGTCGTTTTCGCTCCGCTCGCGTCCAAACTGATGGTCTCGTGCATGCGACTCTAATGATTCCTCCTATGGTATCACCTGGGCTGTCCTCAGAGCTTGATCCCAAGTCTGATTTGAGATCTAGGAGTTCCAGGAGCGAAATCATCGAGGTCTTGTAAATACCCAGGATTCCGTTAGGTCTCGGACCCGCACCGGTACTTCTTTGGGCTGAGGACAATCCTGCAGATCTCTCTTGTAGACTTGATGGAGGAGCTGAAGTCAACGTGCCTCGATCCGACAGTCCAAGAACGGGAACTGCAGGTGGTCTGACAGCGCGGAATGTAAGGTTTGAAAAATACGATGGTGTGAACGGGGGTGCTGAACCAGAGTTCTGATTAGACAGAGGTGTTGTTCCACAAAGCAATTTGCAATCATTTGCAAACTTTTCGAGAATAGACTGCGCCACACTATTGTTTCTTGGCAAAGCTCGCGAGAACGATTTTGCTTTGACTATCTTTTGAACCGAACTTTCAGATGGTGATTCTGGTGAAGGAGGTAGTGGGAGCAGGTTGGGTTCCGAAAGGTGATATCCGCTACACGTTAAAAGTTTCCAGAGATCTTTGAGCATGTTCTCAAGCAGAGGCAGCATGTTGTGGAGCGGCATGTCGATAACGTTCTTGTTGATCCTCGAGATCACCACCTCGGTGTCACACTCATTGCAGAACCGAGAGAACGACCGGTAAGGTTGGTTATATTGTTGGTACTGTGCCAGTGTTCCTTGGTCCACATACTATTGCACGCCAAAGGGAGAATGATCATTCATAGTTAGAACATCAGCAACATCACAATAAATGGCAGCTAAAACAATATTGCGCTACAGGTCTTGCGGTACCTTTCGCCATTCAGAAAGTGGGATCGTATCCTGGCAGACAGGGCACTTAATTTTGGTCACATCGAGACCCCAAGAGTTGCTGACAACCTCCTTAACGTATCTAGTGGTGTAGATCGGATCATGAAATATGTAGATCATTAGAGAAAAAGGGCGCGAGTTTCGGGGTTAGAAGTATTTTTGTCAAACCAGAAGAGTTAAGGCTCTCGCTTTCTTGGTTGAGCACAGAGTTTTCGCAACGCCCAAATGCGTTCCCCTCTTACCGTTGAAAGCAATCTCGACAAAACTGATCACGGCAGTACTCGAGACAAAAATCCAGGCGTGAATCGAAGCAGATGGAACAACGCTGGAGCCAAAATTCGATATCCGTCGACTGCGGCTCGCCCTCACTCTCTTCTTCATCACTCTGCCGATCCTCATCATCCTCGTGGTAAGGATCTTCATCTTCATTATCGTCTATTCCTGACGATCCACTGCCATGCCCTTGTCCATGGTCGCTTCCGTGACCAATGCCGTGACTGTAGCTATGTCCGAGGACGGTCGAGCCAAAGCCATGATTTTGTCCTTGAGTTGCGCCTGCGCCAGCACCATGACTTTGACCTTGGTTGAGACCATGATCTTGATCTTGATGATGATGATAATGGTGTTGCTGCTGCTGCTGCTGCTGCTGTTGTTGTTGTTGTTGTTGTGGTAGTTGTTGAAGGAGAGGTTGATGATACTGACCAAAGGGTACGTATGTGTGATGCTGAGACGATCCTGCGCCTGTATTATTGGCCACCGCAATTTGTATCCGGCGTTGTCCAAGAGTAGATGTGGTACCCCTACTGGGGACAGGTTGTGAGGACGAGGAGGAAGCAGCTGCGTCCATTTTCGTTGACTTTGTAGTGCTTAAGGGTAATTTCAAGAGGCGTCGACTCCGATGACGGGTCGATTGATGTCGACGAGAGTGTGAGGGGTGATCAGGTGGCGAAGGCGGTAATATTGCACCTGAGGCGATTAAACTGCAGAGATGAAACAGGCTGAGCGGCAGCACCAGACTCGGGGAAAAGGCGCACAGGAGAGGGAGCGCGTAAGCGACGGCAAGGCTTTGAAGGGACCAGGTCTGGAAATAGACCAAGCTTGAAAGATGTAGGGGGAAGTAGAGAGGAAAAGTAGCTGCTGTTGCAGTTGTTACTGTAGTTGTTGTCGAGGCCTTGGTGGTGATCACGGCTGTATCTGAAGAATGCCAGGTGTCGACTGGAGTTTGTGGAAGTTTGAAGGGAATGAGGATTGGGGCGCGGGCCAATTGGAATGAACAACAGTCGAATGACAATGTCGGGACCACGACAAAGACGAGACGCAAAGGCAAATGACCGAGGCAGAGAAGGGTTGAATGAAAAAAGACTGAGGAGGTGGTTGGTGATGCAAAAGAATGAGTCGGATTGTTGGTGTTGAGAGAGGACTTTGGTTTGAGAATGGTTTGTTCTTGGAATGAGGAAAAAGAAGAAGGAAAAGGAGGAGGAGGAGAAGAAGAGGGGAAAGACGAAGAAGGAGAGGAGGAAAGAGTGTTGTGGGCAGAGAGTAACAAAGGTGATAGGAGAGTGGTAGCTGAGTCTGGGGGTAGGCTCACAGGGACAGGTGGTTCAGGCGCAGCTGACCGGGACTGGAGCACAGTCAAAGTTGAAGAAGACGATGAAGAAGGGAGGGATCGGGTATGGAGTGAGGAAAGAGGAAGAAGAGAAGAAGGGGAGAGAGGAGCTGTCCTTCCTTTTGTCGACAATGTCGCTGTTTCCTCGAAAGAAGTCGTGAGGGTGGTCGTGGTGTTATCGAAGAGGGAAGGGAGCGGAAAAGAGTCAGAGGTGGACGAGGATGGTTGGACAAGGTTTTCTTGTTGATGTTGCTGTGGGTCCTCAGAGTGATGGTATTGGTCGTCGAAGGACCGCTCTTCATTTGTCTCTTTGTCGTCCATGATTCTTCTTGATCGTCCCTGTCCCTGGACACTCTCAGACTTGCTGTCGTCTTCACCTTGACTTTTCTCAAGCGTCGGTAATCCTCTCAGGGCCGACTCGGTCGAGGGTCCAGGCTCGGTCTCACTCCGTGTGACCATACTCGCGTCGACGCGAATGGGGAGTGCAATGACTTCTTGCCGCCAAGGGTCTTTCTGGTCCTTGTCGTTTCCAAAAAGAGCCATGTTTCGAAACAGTACCACAGAGTGAGGGTTGGGGAAATTCCGACAAAG